AATAATAGTAGCAGTAGCAGACATCGTAACAGCAAACTACCAAGAGACGAACATAATATTGATAAAAATGAAGGAATAATCAAAAACTATGAAACTTCTAATATCCATTACGAAGATGATAGTAGTAGTTCAACCATTAGGAAGTGATCATATACTTTCTGTCATAAATCAATAAATGATTTTAAAAGGTTATCACCATTATTATTATTATTTTAATAACGATCATCATCACCTGTAAACAACATCTATTTTATTTTCAATTATTAAAAGAGAACTTTTTCTGAAAAGAAAATAAAGCTGAATATTTATTAGCTATAAGAAATACTTCAAAGATAGAATTCTATTCATTGTATCCTGTAAAATAATTTAATACACAAACTTTAAAGATTCTCCTCATTTTTTTTAAAAAAAAACAAAAGAAAACAAAAATGGGAAATTACATTGATAAATATTAGTTTGTATATTTTACAGACTAACATAAATGAATCTACCTTAACAGTATGAAAAATTAAAATAAAACGCCCGAATATATAACAATAATTTACATAAATTACATATAACATGAATGTTTCATTTCAATTATTCATTTATAGTATGATTATTTTCTTTATCAAAGTAATATAACAGAAACAGAAAATTAACAAGAAACTAATGAGCGTTTTAATGTAATAAATAAATAAATCAGAACCTAATCATCATTATAACTTTGGTTTTATACTACCTAAATTCTGTTAGTAGTATGATTCTGGCAAACAAATTAATGGAATGATAATAGCTGACAATTGATAAGCAATAATCTGTAAATATTCATTGATGATTAGTTTCAATTAAAAAGCTGAATTATGAAAAATTCAATATCTCTGAGTTACATAAAGTATATTTAATAGGACAGTTGTGGTGAGTGTATGCTACTTATATCGATATAAGTAGTATATAATGCGAATCAGGAATAGAATAACTGGAAGCAGAAGATTGAGAAGGAAAGAACGGGAACAGTGTTTGGTATGAAAATGAAGGAACAGTGAAATATGGGATGAATGATTAACATCTGCAAAGAAACACTCAAGTTTAACAAAATTGATCGATATTTTTCATATCAATTATTTACTGTATGGCTCTCAGATTTTAGTAAGGTGTTCTGTAATTTTGTGTACCAATACATTTGTTTGTCCCCCACTTGTGTTCTCGTTCACTACACAATAACTTGCTTTAAGCAACTTATTGATACAGTAATTATCCTTGAAATCCATGTCGTGAAAGAGGATTTGTAGATGGTTTTCCATGAATCAAATGATCAAGTATTATCGTCAATTTACATGAAGGACTACCATGAATTATGGAGTTGAATACATCATAAACCCAGTTAATTTTTGAATTTTGAAACGATGTTAATTCTTAATTTTAAGTCAGAAACTTACACTCCGATCAAACTCAAATTTTCGTGTTTCGCTTAAAAACATAGACTGTTCGTAAATTTTTAATAATGGCAAAGAGGGTTAGAAAACTTGGAGTTACTAAGTGAATCAGCCTCAAACGCAGGAACAGTGGTTTAAAGAGTTAAACACCGTGTTTAACGGCAACACTAGGAGTCATATTTCCATATCACAAGACAAATCAAGAATCTACAAGAAAAAAATTTTTGGCGCAACCATTTATTAAGACAGTTTGAGAAATTATCATACGCCGATTCATTTAGCATTACACCGTACGCGGCAGAAAGAGTATATGAAATCTGAGAGCAAGTCTCAAATTTTAATGACGTTCTCTGTGAACACAACTGCGTACAGTGAATCCTCTCCCACAATCGACAGACCAAGAATGACTTCTCTAAATTTCTGCCCTTAATACTTTTATTTATTTGTAGTTATTTCGTAAGTTCCACCAACAAAATAACATCACTTACCGTGTTCTTGAATATACAGATAGACATACAGAAGTTAGGAGAAGCGTTCTTAATTATTCATTTTAATGACCAATTGTAATTTTATACAGCTTGACAAAAGCTAAAACGATTGATAATATCCTTCGGCTGTAATATGGCATTTGTTTACAAGTCTATTAAGTAGGGCGAATGCCGAAAACTATTTTGTCAAAAAAACATTGGGTTTGCCCTAAATAATACAATAGTACAATAATTCCACATAAACAGATCAGCGAATAAGTCAATCAGTCAGTTAGCTACAACGTAAGACCAGGCACATATATCAATCGGTTCAAGTTCCCATACCGCATTAGTACAGCAAGATGAACACTGGACTCACAGAAGTAGTTAATCCAATGGTGGTAATAATAATAATAAAAGAAAAATTGCATATAAGGATATGGTACAGGAAGAAAGAATTAGTTCGTAGAAAGGTATAAAGTAGTCCTAATATCATGGTTAAGGGGAATGACAGTCTATACACGGACGCCATCGTGATCGATCCTGAGCCATGTCATCAAGAGTCTCCAACCATTGGTTACGAAAGTCACGCGGACCCCAAACAAGTAGTCTACATCTACCAACATGGCTCAAACCAGAAGTTAGTGACTTCAAGTACTGATGCCATGTTTTGGTTTGGCCGCCCCTAACTTTCTTTCAACCGTAACCGACGCCGGTTAGCATTGCGCGTCGTAGTAAGCGTGTTCGGGCATACGTAACACGTGGCCCAACCATCTCAGTCGATGAAGATTCACAACCTCATCAATTGATTTACCATCCTTCCCTAATACCCTGCATCTAATCTCACTATTACTTATCCAGTGATCTCAGCAGATGCGAGAAATATTTCTAAGGCATCTGTGACCAGATACTAGTAGCTTATGACTATCCTCTACCCTTAATCGCCACGTTTTGCAGCCGGAAAGTAGAACAGAAAGAACTACCGCGCAGTATACTCAACCCTTAATTGATAAACGGATATCTGGCGTTTGCCATAGGTGACGTAATTTGGCAAAAGCCAAACGAGCTTTCTGAATCCGTGCAACGACTTCGTCGGACACCAACGCATTACAGCTGACCAGATTTCCAAGATAAGTTATCGACGCGTCCAACTACTTCACTCCCTATCCTTAATTCAGGTGTTGACGCAAGCCAGTCCTGAAGCAACAACTTATATTTAGTTGGCGAAAACGCATTCCAAACTTCCTGGCATGGTTGCTTAGTGCTACCAAAAGACACTGCATTTTATCAGCGTCTTCTCCAAACAGGACTATATCATCTGCGTATTCTAAGTCGATAAGTGGACCTCCTGGAAGGACATCAATGCCCGCAGTATGTCTATAATGAAGTTGACCAGAAATGGAGATAGTGGACAGCCTTGTCGGACACCACTAGAGATTGCAAAATCAGAAGACAATTCGCCATAAGCTCTGACTCGACTAGCGGTGTTCGAGTAAAGAGCCTTCACAAGGTTTATGTAGTTCACGAGTCTTTGTTAGACGCCCGATAATTATTGAGGCTAGTATTTTAGATACCATGTTGCTTAAAATAATCCCTCTATAGTGAATGAACGAGATATTGGTCGATATCAATTGTTCAAAATATATTCTTAGTCGTTTCGCAACACACACAACAAAAATTATTCGGTCCTAACATTTTGGCTGTAATTAGCAACCGCTAAAAAATTATTACAAGTTGTTTGCAAACAAGAAATATGGAATCAGAAGAAACGTACATTTATCTAAACAGGACTAATGAAAATCTCGAAATAACCTAATATTTCGGAACTCAGAAGCCCGAAACATTTAAGGTTTGATGCAATAAATTTTTCAAAGACTACAAGGGGAATGGACCAGGTACATCAACGCATCTATAGATGAACATGTGCTCTGTAATGCTGCAGAAATCCGTAGATTGTTCTAATTAGTGTTTAGCCATTTTGGAATAAACCAATTAATGACTGTCAGGTGAGCAGAATAACCTTGTTTCGCTTTATGTTCTTGAGACATAGATACGGCAAGCAGGAAAAATTCACACAAATATCACTTAAACTACTTGGTACGTTCATTGAAAACGTCTATACCATTTGACACCTCGCTATTCGTTTAGCACGGTAACAAAGTCATACAAGTCAGTATTCTGACTGGCGATTTTGTCACGTGATAATTGACAAGGGTAAAAGTCATAATAAAAAGACCAATTTATAGGAAACCTACTTACACAAAACGATACCCAACTCCTCGTAACTTTTGCTCTTTGAAATATTAAAATGACTTAGTGAGATGTCCATCCAAAATTATAAAATGTATGTTACGGTGATAACACTAGAGATGTGCATCTACTGAAGTACAAGTCAGGTAACATTTAAAGCGCTTCTTTATTCGCCCGAAAAAAGGACGCACATCACACCGTTACACAAAGAGTTAACTAATCGAGATTGTGAATGAGGTCGAAAAACCGTCCAAGATATTGCGTTGGCAAGTTGCTCGTTATTGAGAAAATAAAACCTGATATTCCATATAGGGTCAAGCATCGTAAAAATAATTACGCCATATTCCATATTAAATCGTCAAAACCATCACCAACCCGGTTTCCTTTTTAATTACCTGAAGTTCCCCATTACTGTAGGCAGCTCGGAAATGTTGACAACCCCTTACACACATGTGGTGGCCCTCAAAATAACCTTGTTTATGATAAAATTGCATGTGCCAATTTACGTGTATGGATATACCTACAAAGGAAATCGCCAGGACTGCACTCTTAGGTTTGTGGAAATCCTGGATACTAGACAAATAATAATCACACTTATAGGCGATTTCCCTCAGTATGTAAGACCGGAAACAAGCAATAAATTAGCCAATATTGATGATGTTGGATAATGAAGAACAACGCGCATTCGTTCATCAGATAGAAGAAATTTAATTTATTTCACAATAAGTAAATCCACATAAGCTGTTGAAAATATTAGTGACCAAAGCAACAAAAAGTATTAAATGAACAATACGCGATAAATACATGATAAATGAAATCTGAAAATATTGGCAAATGTTGAAATCCGCCTTTCTATATATACATATAATTAAAGACCACTCCAAAATGATTGTAAAACACCATTACAAAGATGTAGAGTATTAACAGTTTCATGATGAACAAATTCCTTGATAATTTGTATTACCATACAAAAATCATGCATACGTATCCAAGTAGATGTCTTAACGTCTGTTGTATAATACTTCCTCCAAAGGAGAGGATTTTTTAAAGCAGTTTGAAATATTTCTAAATTTGTTTCAATCAAACTAGTTAGTTCATAATCCATAGCATTATTGAGCACGTCCAATGATGTATACTGCATGGATTTGCACTTTTTCAGAAATGAACTAACACCATCGTCATCATTAGAACTACTTCTTGGCCAACGAGTTATTAAAATATACTTCAACATTGAAAAGAACTCTTCGAAATTTATTCCTGCGTATGCTCGTAAACAAGTCTTTGTTTAAAAAAAGGAAGCAGAGAGTAATCAGAACTTTACGCAATACCATAAATTGAAAACCCCTTTAATGATAACAAAAAAACTGTTTTCATCAAATTTTAGAGTCAGTTAAAACCAACGAGTATTGCCATAGTATTACTTAAATATCTTTAAGAGATCAAACTAATAGAAACTGCTCAAATTCATCAGTGAAAAGAAAATGGTTATAAGATGATATTCTTGAAAATTTGACATTTCAACTGATCGATCAGAATCATGGCTAAGTTCCAACTCCTGATAAAACTCCATCGTTTATGACTAACTAGGAAGTTGGAATAATAGTATCTGAGAGGAGTCTCTCCAATGAAATAGTGCTCCTTAGAAGACGACATAAAAAGAAAATCTTTTCTTGATGACTAACTTTATCATTCTGTTTGGTTACTTTCAATATTACATTCTTTAATACAAGAAATGTAGTTCTCGTCAGTAAAAGTGCATGTCTTGTTTAATCCTATATCATGTTAAAATTTCTAACTAGTGTCATTCATCTATCGGTTTGTTTTACTGAAGGCATCAGGCAGCTAAGTTTTTTAACTTATATGCTATCAAAAACTTTTATTATTCTGATGTTATAAGCTATAGTATTGCCAAAGTAATGAATTTATGGAGATAATAGCTACAATTTCCACAAACCTGTTGGATATGCATATATTCATCAGAAATGAAATTATCTTCTAACAACAATTATAAACAAATAGGTTTCTTTTCATATAAAAAAATGTATCACTTGATTATGTGCTAATTTTCCTTGCAGACTTTTATATTTCGTAATTATTGATTCATCTAGCTTTATTTGTTTAACTTTAACCCTTTTACTAAAGCAGCTTGACATACAAATAACAATGTTAGGCCATAAAGACAAGTGTGACCTATGGCCCTATACGTGGTTGGTAGGCTTGCGTCTGAAAAGATGAAGTAACTCAGAGTCAAGATGACAAAGCAGGCGGTTGTATAATAAAAGTAGACATTTTGCTAAGTATTAAATTAATCAAAGATATTTACCTGACACTCTTCATGCCATCCAGGAATAGAAGATACGTCTTTAGTTGACAATTCAACAGCTTTCAATTGATCTTGTAAATGATCCCAAACATGACTTACATTTGTAGCATTGAACCAATTATGGTTTATAGATATACAATCAGTCTGTATATGCATAAAAAAGTCAACTACACTTTATCAGCTGTTGCATAAAGATGATTACAAAGAATAAATACAAAAAATGAAACAGAACTGCGGAAGTACTTCGATATGGCAACATACTTATTCATTATGAACGAAAAGTAGAGTTGTGTTTGAAGATAGCTCAGAAAAACAACTAACTATTTGATTTGATTTTGTTAAAATGAATAATTCATGATAAACATCAGGGACTTCGATTAAACGTACTGTTTGAGAATACAAAGCACACTACACAACACTACAGTCAAAGTAAGTAGAGTAGATTACGAACCGAAACAAATATCTCTCTTGTCTTAAACTATACCCGAATGTACACTAATTCTGGAGTAACGTTCTGCATTGATGAAGTGGAAAATAGAGTTCGAAAACATTTTAAATGTGCTCGTAAAATTGCGCAATTCGTAAGGTTTCGATTGATTGAAAAATTAGGTTGTTCTACTGTCCTATCTTCCAATTGACTTTATAGGGCGTTCATTTAGAAATATCCGAACATATAACAGAAAATTAATATTTTTATTTATTAATTTAGTCGTTACACAGAAAGCATATATTTATAAGGAAAATAATGGATGAGATCATTCACTAGCAAGTATGGAATTCTAGACCCTTCAAGATGGCCCTAATATAATGGTTATCAAGAGAAAATATTTATTATTACCATATTTACAACCTGATGATACCATCCAGAAGGTACGAAAACCACTTGTCCAGAATATTGGTCGACTAAATAATACTTCACATCTGTCCTGTCTTTTATAATGGAGCGTATATCAAAAGGAATTTGTCCGTTGGATGATAAGAGCTTTCTTTCTTCACCTTAAACAGAAGAAAAACAATTCATGTACAGTTATGCACTGAATTTAATCATTATCACAAAATTCGAAATATAAGTTAACAGGAGTAGACAAAAACAAAATGCGAAAACCGTAAGATGAGAATCGGCTTCAAAACATATTGCTACGTGTCTACAAACACCGATTCCCTTTTAACTACGATTTATATCCTCAAGGATTTCCACATATCAAACGAGTTTGATCTAAATAATTCAAACGAGAAACTATTAGATATTTTTTTTATTAAGATCATGAACCGATTGATGTTAGGACGAAACGGCCGTCCACTGCTTCCAGGTTTTCAATTGTGATGGTCTAACATCAATCGGTTCATGATCTCAACCATAAACTTAATAATCTCCACAACCCCTATACTAGTAATCAACATGTGCTCACTAGTGACTAACTTCGTGAGGGAATTCTCGGAGTCTTAATGAGAAGCCGTGATCAGTGGAGCTAATCCATGTCGGGCAGAGACAGGTATCTACCTCAGTACAATGGAAGTTGGTCGCGCAATTTCGTGGATTGGTTGGTGTTAGACACTATCACCGTTGGATGTCAGCTCAATGGTCCAGTTGGTTAAGCGTTCGCGCGCGAGACCGAAGGCCCTGGGTTCGAATCCCGCGAGCGGGATCATGGATGCGCACTGCTGAAGAGTCCCACGATAGGACGAAACGGCCATCCAGTGCTTCCAGGTTTCCAAAGGTGGTGGTCTAACATCAATCGGTTCATGATCTCAATCAAAAACTTAATAATCTCCACAACCCCTATACTAGTATTAGATACTTATTTAACCTCTTTCCGTAAATTTGCGAACGCATGACTTCAAAGTAAACGGTGTCGAAACCCTCCTGACCTATACAGAGTGCAATAAAAATATTAGTTATCGAAAGTAATCAATCTTACATCTACTCTGCATACACGCAGAATTGGAAGAGAACCGTTCGAAAGTTTTCTGGCAATACTACACAGTACTGTACCATTCAACTAAGATCTCAACCGAACCTAGAATATGGCCGGTATATAATATATGTTGATATCCAATTTTAAACCATTATTTGAACTATATATTCGTATTTAAAGATTTAAAACTCATGAGATTTTTGCCAGGGACTTTAGTTTGGTACATAAACAATGACGCTTTTAACTAGACGAAAAGTTTATTTTAAGAGACCAACCAGGAGGAAAAATCCACCAACGCTTGTGGCCAAGTATATTGGCAGACCAACTGAAAGAACGGTACACATCAGCGTGTAAAGGTGTCCACGTTCCATGACTCCCTAAATATAAAAATTTGAAGTCATCAGAGAGATCATTTCGTAGGCTCCAAAATTCATTTAACCAATCAGAAGAAAAATATTCAGGTAACGTGAACCAACTGTTTTCTGAACTCTTTTTAAAGTAATGCCAATCTTTCAAATATAGAATGCGATCATCTTTTCCTTGAGCTTTATCAGTCCAATACGAAATAAATTCTTCAACAGTGACTTCACGAACAGGATGTGTGTTGAATTCGATTACAGAACAATCAGAAACACATAATTTCTCGTCTGAAAATATCACACTGATTATGATCTACCTGGAACATTTTCGAATATTTTTTTTAAGTCAATCAGTCCATCAGGGGAACGCCATGAAAAACATGCTGGCCAGTTTTTAGTAATCCAAGAGTCAAAAATACACAGTTGGTTTTTCAGAAGATAGCTAAACAAGATAATAATAATAATCAAGATAATACTACTTGAAATAGAAATCTGGATATTTGACATCTTCACTCAGATATGTTGCTACCGAAGTATTCTCCTGTTACAATACCCAAAAAAATCAACAATGAGCACCTGACATGGAAAGCATCGATAATTTCATAATGAATAAGGTATAAGATATACTTCATGAAAGCTTTATTTGCATAAAACAATAAACATGACACATACAAAGAAAGATTATAAATTTCGATAGTAATAAAGTACTGCAAGAAAAGCATTTGTGGAATCACGACAATGCAACTTTGAGAAATAAATTCCGAAATCTTAGTTCACATCACTTTTCAATCCGTGGCAATTTGGAACGCGGCTCTAAAGAATCTTCTTCCTGACTAATAGACGGATGTCCTGGGAGATCAGTAGAATGATGCTTTTTGACAAACATGGTTGGAAAAACCAACAAAATGCAGGTCACATTATCACCAGACATACGAAGAACAGCTTCACTAACCAAATGCGTGCACACTGAGTCCAGGTGCCGTTGACACAAAATCTGAGAATAATCAGTACACTACAATTTTTTGAGAAAAAAAGATTACAATGAAGCATCCTGAAACAATTACAACGGTATCTGTAAATAAATAAAAGAATTTAGATGTAGCTCAGGCAGTGTCACTAAAATAATAACTTATTCACTAAGACAATAGACTCTCAATAGCAACCCTCCAGGTTCAAACTCTGCTCCATCTACATCAGTTTAAGGGGCCAGGTAGTATCACTAACCCTCAGTAAACCATGGCGCAAAGGTGAGTCCACAAACTCACACTTGATAAATAAGTTACATTAAATCCAGTTGAGGCAAACTTTTTTTAAATGACTGCCATCTTTACTGAAGTGTACGAAATATAGAAAAGTCATTTTTATTGTATCAGTCACAAATAACATTTCTAAGCGCACCTGAGCAATGTAGCTTTTTTGAACGCTTGTAAGTCCCACCCTCAGACCTCATTATGTTTAATATCTTTACATCACGAAATAACATTTCATCTTGAAATAAACAAGAAACATTGCGATTAGATATGATGGGAGTATTCGTGACAGTTTTATGAGTGACTAGCTGAAATTTGAAACACTGAAAAATATAAACCATTGTGCTTAAAAGAAAAAAAAACTAACAAAACGTCTGTTGGTTTTTCACCTTAATAAACGTTTACAAGAAGTGATAGACATTTTTGGAGACAAAAACACTAACACTTAATGCCGTAATTAAGCAAGATACATGTGATGGTAATCATAAATCAAAAGCGACTTGACTTACTTGACCATTTTGTGATTCTCTGTGTTCATTTTCATACTTTTTAATCTCTTGCATCAAAAGTTCATGAGTGAGATGAACAGCTTCATTCGGAGGGAAACTTTTCCACAGACCATCACAAGCTATTAACAGGAATCTAAGAAATTTTTTTAAACACTAAGAATTTTGAATATAAATTACTCACAACTAAAGAATAAAATTTGTTTTTACAAATTTTCACCTGATCAATAATAACATATTGACTTAAGTCTTCGAAACAGTATGAAACATTGTAAAAGCCCATAGATAAGATTTCCCACGTTTCTCCGTAGAAAAACAATATTGGGCGCACAAGAAACAAGGTATTAAGATTAACAATAATAAGGCCACGTATGTGGCAAGTGACATGGAAAAGTAATCTCCAGAAAAGTTTTGAATAAATGAAGTAATAATTATGGTTATCACTTTGTGTAAGCGATACACCAAATGAAGTCTACGATGTTACAAAGAATTGATATCCAAAATGGGAGCAAAAAAACTATCTAAGATATTTTAAATATGCTGCAATGTAACCGGAAAAGATTCTCAAATAAACTACGAACTGAGGCAAACTGTACTCAATCGAATTAATAAGATATCTTACAATCAAGAGCAATATTTTTACATACGAAAATTCCAAAATAAAATGATGTTATACTAGGAGCATTAGTATCCAACCGTTTCCAGATTCGAATCGTTGAATATATCACTAAAGAAATGATAAGAAGTGTGAACTCACTGATTCTGCGACTTTAGTTTCCACATAAGATTAATCGCCAACTAATTAAAAACTTAATCGTATTACATTAGTCGAATATTATGTATATAAGTAATAAATCTAGCTCCCTAATAATATCTCTTCTGATAACCATTTATTTGGTATTTAGGGAATCAGCATCTCGAAAAATTATTAACCTAACCTTTTTGACTAAACTAATATATATCGTCTAGCTAATTGAACTGACACAAAAAGCTAAAAAAAATCCAGTTTAAGTTATGGGAGTTCACAACAGATTGATCACCGGGTTGTGACTTACGTCATGCATGTTATATCCTTCTTAATGCAGACCGAATTCTGTCGATCAAGTTGTAATATGGCCATTGGTCTAGGCAACATCGCGTGAACTATATTGAGGTGTAAGATGGTGGTTGGAGGTGGTCAACAGAAAACCCTGGACCTAGGTTTCGTGCTACTTGGCACTCGTCAGTAGGATGTACCCTTAATCATCAAAAAACTGATGCACTGTGGCATATTTGATGTCGCTATAGTAATAAGTAAAAAATAACTGTAAAGATAAACGAGGAAAGCCATGTAGAATGTCAGTGACCTATAACCATATTTAATATGAAGGATTCAAATATTTCTCATGTTCAAATATTACTAATGTTGATAAAAATTAAGAACGAATTTGCTATTTAGAGTTATTATCGAGTTCGTTTGCAACTTTTATAAGTTGAGATAAGTTTCATGGTCAGTGAACATGAAAACTAAAGCATATTTTAAAGGTAACGCAATTCATAAAGGGCAGTCTCGCTGTGCAAGATAAAGAAACTTGTTGCAATTGTGATGCAAAATAGGATTATCGATTAGAATATCTCAAATTAGAACTTCAATGATCTGCTTCGACTTATAACAGAATGCAATTATTTTGCCTGTGTCTGCGTAAAAGCAGATACTTTATGCAAAGATTCGCAGACTTTCACAGGCATTAATATGTTATCCCATTTTATTTACTGACAATGAAATAATGTTTGCACTCCCGAATATGTGATAACGAATTTGCGGTTGAGAGGTGCAATGGCTCTAAACAGTGCAATAGCTCTCAATTTAATTGTTACTTGGAGTGTCACTGACGTTTCCAAATTCTTCAAAATTATAAGTAAAAAAGATGTAATTTCTCTTAGGTTCAGCGAAGCAGTGGTAATTGAAAAATTGAAACCAGATTTGTATCCAGTAAGAGTGTAGTGAGCGGGAACACAAGTGGGGACAATCGAAAGTATTTGAATACAAAATTACAGAACATCTTAGTAAAATCTGAGAACCATACACTAAATCCTTAATTGGCAAAATGTTAATGAACTGTTTCAAACTCAACTGTCCCATTTGCAAATGTCAATCAATCGTCTCAGACTTTACTGTTCTTTTATTTCGACAGCAATCACCTACTGTTCTCGTTCTCTTTTCTTTAATCTTCTTAACCTTCTATCGATATCGGTGACAAACCACAACGGCAACCAATTTACCATTACCTTAGTAAGTCCACGATTTTGACTTATATCAACGACAACTGCTGTTATTGCTACCATCATTATTTTATTGTGTCTAGTTTTTTATGCAATCTTTGCTAAACCAGAAGTTATTTCATGTATGTTAAAGCCATCCTTTCATTCGTCTGCTTTTTCCCACATTCAATTCTCCAAACTTATGGAAATTTTTAAAATCTTGTATAGTTATAAGGCAACCCAACTTATCAATGTCGAACTCTAGACAATTACTACCTCATCCCTCTATCTTTTGAATTTATTGTTAAGTGGTCTGAAACTCAAGCAAACACTTCAAATCGTTTATAAGTGACACACAACCCATCAGTTTCGTAAAAGGAACCAATTGTATAAATAAAATAATGATATATTGCTGATATACCAGGTAAAATCTGAATTTTTAACAAATAACTGGATTGAAACTGGCATGTTTAAATAGTAGAGAGGATCAAGGCAGAATATTCAGTTCAGTCAAAATAAAGATAAGTTTGATTATGTCAGCGTCATGTCTTTTCAGTCAAGATGAATTTGTGTGAGACATCACTTTTTATAGTTGTGTACACGATGGGTGTGAAATTTGTTATAAGTAAAATTGAATTTTTGTGTCAGGAATGAATAGAATCAAATGTGGCTGTTTGGATAAACAGTTCAAGTCATGCTTCTCTTTCTATTGAAGGCAGAGGGACGTAGCATTAGATGAAACGCCGCAGCTACTCGCCTTTCTTCATAGTTGGAAAAACCTTTCTCAATTATTTTGATGATTTTAATATCGATTTGGTGGTTATCAAATATATCATTTACTGTTATTACCGATTTAATCTGTAGATTTTTCAGTTCTACGGGATTATCAGATCTTTTTGATTTAAGCCTGACAATAACGAACTTAGATTTTGATGGCAAAACACTATTTAATAAGATTTCTCTAGCTGATCTTAGGGACCTAAATTATTTTTTATGCACGTACAATGATGCAACTGAAGTTCGGCCGTCAGTTTTTTGACGTGACTAATACAATGTCTTTGTTGTAATTTCTCGGAAGTTTTTATTTGATTACGATAAGATATCAATTTGTTAATCCAACAAATCAAATGACGAACAATTTCTAAACGGCATCTATTATTATTATCCATGACATGAAATCTCACGAGTTGTTTCATTCATTATGACCTATCACAAATTTAATATTAATAATGATATTTAACTTACTGATCATTATCCGTTAGCTGACACTTTTTCACGTCCGGGATACAAGTAACACCTTGTTTCTTAAATTGATAGTCACCAAATGACCGACTAACTTCTAGGACATTATTAACACGACCATTTTGAACAGAAGCTCCGGTGGCTTGAATACGCTGCCGTTCTTCATAATCCATGGGGTTGTGATCTTTTGTTAAACAGATTGCACTTAATTTTGGATTACTTAAAGTATTGCTACTATTGACATTAACGTTATTAGATTCAGATGGGGACTCAACCAATCTGGCTAGGACAACCTAATACCAGCAAAATAAACGGAATAAAAGTATCTCTACACGTTGTATGTATATGACAGTAAATTTAACTGTGAATTGAAAAGGCTTGTTAAAAACCCAGCTTCACTTTGTAGTTATTAACTAAATCAGATAATACAGTGCAAATGTAGGTTGATTATAATAATAGCACACTGAATACATTATACTTCGAACAGAATGAATATATTAAAGTAATATGAAATACACACTCAGACAAAAAAATTCTAAGGACTATGCCAATAAGAAACGTTTCCGTACGATATGTGACGATCACATACATGCCGGAGAAGCTGAAACAATAAGATATCTTTGTGACCAAGTATAGCTTGATAATAAGTCCGGGGGGTCATTTTTGTGAGGGTAAAAGGATTGTTTTGCACAGTAATATAAGAAAACTGTACTTTCAATCTGGCCTGTCCCTAACTTAAAGATCAGGCACTAATTTTGTGAATTACACAGGCCCAGTAGTGTGATCAAACAAGAAACGAAGAATAGGAAAAAACTGGTTTTTTACAAAAGGGCCTTAATTTTCTCAACAAAGGAAAATGGCATTGTGCGACGCATCTTTATACAGTATGTAAGTGACTTTGGGAAATATGATTAAATATCACTGGGAGATAACGTAACCAGTGGAAAACGAGAGCAAATTGCTAAGGGGTAAGTAAATTTAAGGCTTATGTCAGTAATTTGACCAAGTGAACAGCAACAAGTCATCCATATCCTATCATTACCATTATTTATGTAAAAGCGACCTATTCATTTTAATGATAAGAGCGTTTACAGTAAACTCAGAACTTTGTTCTCGGGTTATTTAGCAACAAATAAAACTCCTTGACTGCCAATAGATTCGTGAAATAAACGACAAACAGACACAATCGTATCACAATTCATTGTATTGACTACCTGGTTATTTTTGTTAGTATATCGAAGTTGAGATAAGGAAGCATTTACGATTATTCACACAAGCAAACATTCCAACTGATACAAACCGTAGAACAAATCTGCATAAAATCTATGCATCCGATAAATATTTGATGACGTAATTCCCAAAAGTAGTATTGTTACAGTAAAAAAACACATTTGCTCGAAACGTAAATCAGTAGGAAAACATAATGTCTCTTACATGTGAATATTACCATAACTCATAATATATACAACTGAATAAACGGTATCTCATAAAAAATTTTATGATCCAATAGTTAGCGTTAAAATCGTATTTCGCTTTATACATAGTAAGGAGCAACTATTTACTTTGATGTGATGTAAGACGAAGTTAGGTTACATGGAAGAGAAGTGAGAGGAAACACACTGTACCGGTCCGTTATATGGTTGACCAGTGGTCCAAGTTATCTCCTTCAGTGTACACTATCTTGGTGGAGTCCTGACAGTGATGGGAACAAATACACAGGAGATTGTAAATCGTTTCATATATACATAAATGATTACTCCTCATAAAAGAAACATTGGAGACTTTTGGTGACATAGCTCAGAATCGATCACAATGGCGTCGGTGTATACACTCTCTGTCTTACCTTAAACTAAGAGATTAAAATCTCTTCATATCTTTCTTTCTAGGAACTAATTCTTTCTTCCTGTACTATATCCTTATTGCAATCTTTCTTTTATATATTACCACCACTGAATTAACTACTTTTATGAATCCGGTGTCCATCTTGTTGTGTTAATGAGGTATGGCAACTTGGACCGATGCATATATGTGCCTGGTCCTACGTTGTAGCTGACTGACTGACATAAAAGGAACAATTAGAAATAAACCGCAACACTCTAAATGTTACTTGAAACACTGTCTGAGCACTGAAGTCCCTGGTGGTTGACAGATAACACATTAACCATAAAAAGTAAACAATATCACAACAAAGTATCAAACACAACATTAAAGCGAAATAAACATGAATTACTTTAGAGTCACCAAGATTTGCAATGTATAGTGTGTTATTGACCAATAGGATTGTTGCTGATGTACTACCATCTCTCCAGTGAGGGCGCCTGGAAAAATAGAAAGGGGCGCAAAAAAGGTGAATGAAACACAATGGTTGGATTCCTACTGCTGGCAAGCCTCTCTCAAAAACTCCTCATCTGTTTTCTTATAAGAGTCGTATAACACACGCTTAATATCCTTTTCTACCTGTTGCATCCCACCTGTTCAGGAGGAAAAAAGAATAACGTTTAATGACTGATATTTCCAAATAGAGTAATAAACAACATGAGACCTTAAATATAAAGGTGATACATTTCAAAACTCGGATTCATTTTCACGAAACGATTGCAAAAACCATTTTAAAAACAACCTACTACAACTGAAAAGACAAACTTACTATGTATATAGCTTTCATTCAATTAATTCAACATCTATATGTTGTGAACTGTAGTCATATTTTAGTTTACAAAATCTAGAAGAGGAACGCTCGGATATGTGGGGACTATCATTTGCAGATAAACTTTAATTCTTATATTTTTGGTTAAATTCGGTTAGAAGTGACTGACACTGTCACAAAACCTCTCGGACTATAGAGTCAGATGCTGCTTTTAAGTCAAGAAAAATTATTATTGTCGGACGCCGATAAGCATGTCTGTGTTCTAGAACCTGACGAATGATGAATATGCAGCCACAACCAGGTATGAAGCCAACCTGATTTTCTAGTGTTTGCAGTTCACGAATCTTTGTTAGGCGCCCGATAATTATTGTGGCTAGTATTTTAGATGCTATATTAGTTAAACTAACCTCTATAATTATCAAAGTATGATTTTGACACTTTATATATTGAGACGATCGGTGACTGCGACCAGTCAGATGAGATTACGTTCAGTTCCCAGATTTTGGCTAAAATATTCGTCAACCTAATCGCTAAAACTGGACCGCTATCCTTAAAGACATTTGAACCATCTGCTCTTCCTCGTTTTAGATTAGCTAGTCTTTTGGACTTCAGCTAGAATCAGGGGACCAAATTCTATGTCCCATTCACGCTGTCTGGGAATGGTAGGTAGTTGTAGAGTAGCTTAAGTCCTGCTAAACTGTTCTCTAAAGTTTTCCGCCCATCGTTCTAAACGTCTTGACTGAGAGCAGATAAGAATGTCGTCTTTCTCCGAGATCGTCTCACACTTGAATTCTTAATTCCGAATTCTTCTTAGTTTGAAAAGCTGTCTTGTATTATGTACGGTCCACATGCAAGCCAGTTACAACAACCGAATATGTTACCTAGGTGAGTTAGTTCAGCTAGTTCTACCATCCTTAAATTGCAGTATTTCGGGAATTCTTATTACGTTAATTCAAGTACTTCCAATTATCATAGACAGTTATACTAAAAGCCTATACATATCATTGGAATTTCTATTATGAGTAACTTTTTCGACAGAAGCACATGTGGTCGAAGTACAAAAGACAGATTTATATCAGAAAAACTACGATCCTGAAGCTGTGCTAATGTAGTCTCGTCTCCAGGTTCCTTAAGAAGTATTTATCTATGGTGAAGGTAGGTAGCAGAAATCCTTCACACACCCCAAGAAGAGCCCAAGTCTACCATTTTACCTGAAGATCACTTTTTTACTCGATTTTCCCTCAATTTTGATATCGATCCTTGATCACTAAATATTCGGACGGACTATCACCTCAGGAGAACCACTATAACCGCAAACCAGCCCTACCAAAAAGACCATTGAGTAGTATTATGACGAGTGTTTCTTATTTAGAGGACTACTCCAACTTAACAATAAAGAAAAGATATCCATTTATAAGAGTAACATTTTTGTATAACATAAGAATCTCTAGTATTATGAAACTGTTTAACAATTACAGCCCTTATCTTACCTACTACCATCCTTAGCATCATTTGCTTATGATGCAGTTCCTAAAGACTAGAACTAAAAGTAAGGTCTTATGTGATTGGAGAATGGGTGACAAGCTAATTTCCTCTAATCCCCCATGGAATTTTCTCATATTTATTTTGTTTTTATATCCTATATATAAGCACGCAATCCTACAATATACAGAACTATTCATCTGACTAATGGTTTTTGTTTTGGAGTTCTAATCATTGAGGGTTCCTAAGTCAGTTATACGATCTCCAGTAGCAACCACCCGGTCACATTATATCGTTGCATTCATCTGTTGATTGCATCTCGATTAATATGTTTCGGCGACCAAAATCTTAATCCTAACAGAAAAATATTTCATTAAGTTTTATTTTAACACATAGTATTCTTAAATTAATAATTGAATGACCTCAACATCAAATAAACAATCAGAAAATCATCACCTCGAGGAAATCGCATGGCTATATGTTGATGTAAACGCTTGCAAGCAAAATTAGCTGCTTTTGCTCCTCCATGTCCATCGAAAATAGCGAAATAGCACACTCTAGCTCTGAAAAATAAAACTTAAAACTGAAGTCAATACGATTACATTTCATTGGAGACTCCTCGATACATTAGCTCTACCAAGTTATCGACAACAATATGGGAATCCTGCATTTCCGGTCTCTCACCTTTTCTGGCGACAACAGAACAAAGATATGGAGTAAGTTCTTGAAACGAATAATTCAGTTTTTCTCGCAAACAACATACTAACAACAGATTCCGACTCATCCCAACTGGAGTCTCCTCCCAATATTTCAGGTTTCTCTTCGAAATAAATAATTCTGTGACTGGAGAATGTGTACTTACGTAGATCATTGCTTTCCACACTTGGCTCAGGGAGATCATCGAATAGACTCATCTGACCAACAACGGCAAAATTGTTCAAGGTTGAGGTTTAAACGCAGGTAATTCAATATCCAAATGGTACAAATGTTCAACATGGTTGTGAATGTAAAAGAAGAAGCTTTTGCTTAACAAGCCCCTAAAACTGGTAGCTTTTAGACGGCAACCTATGTATATCAACAAAAAAGAGAAATACTGTCCTTAGTACTTAAAAATGTGAAAAAGTTTCTGAGGTACACCTGGGAATTTATCTAGACCCTCCGATAGTAGCGAGTTCCAGGACTTAGCTACTCATGAAATGTACCTACACCCTAGCTTCCTTTCTCGTCTGTGACATAAAAAAACTACTAAAACAAATATTCCTGTAGGTCTTCAACATTCAGGTTTACTTCAATAATTCATCTGGGCACACTCTAAAGGCGCTTGACCAAGCATCCACACCATATCTTAATTATTTACGCTGTGAAACTCATCTTTCGCTATCCAGCCGAGCTCGTGTACTCCTAGGTACATCGATGGCCTTCTAAAAACATCGTAGAACTTCATTTCTAAATTCAGGTTCGACAGCATTTGAAATCCTCGATCATATTGTAATTATAGATAAAACGTTATCAAGCCCTAAATTGCTGTGGCGTCTTCGATAGTGAAACGACGTGTTATATGGTACAACAAGCGAATATCCATGAGTCTCTTCCTCCTTTTAGCACCACATTTTAAAAAGGACTGTGGTATTGTAGCGGTAAATAAATCTCCAAAATAAATAGCTTTGTAAGTTTTCGACATTGGATACTGACCACATGTTTTAATGAACTCACCTAGCTAGAGGCGTTTAGTCATGCATCCGCATCAGATCACGATTGTGAACTCCGTTCTCAACAAACCCTGCAATCGCGAGCCAGATTAGATCAGACGATTCTCGACATATTGATAGCATATCAAATATATCTTCAAACCTCCTCGCTTCTGTCTTTTGATTTCACTTGGTGGGTACGCTTCATATAGGTGTTACTGGTTAAAGCGTTATCAAACTCCGCATACGTGCTGCACCTTCATTGGTGAGCCCAACGTGGTCTGGAACACCAAATCGCAAACTGTGAGTCTGTTCCTTTGTGGGATTCTATGTATCACTGACTTATCTTAATTTTCTAAATATTGTGACATTTCTTTTTCGTGTTTTTGGACATATATATTTTTTCCCCTCGTTCATTCTCGTACCTCATATTTCATCATGACTGAACAGATACCCAAAGTACTCAAGCTTAAGACTTTGTCCCCATCTTTGTTTCAAATGATGCTTTTCTGGCCAGACAACATCGGAGCCTGGTTTTGCTACACAGATGCTGACTTCTCCGAGCACGGTGTGAATGACACACGTGCAAACTTCCTCGCAGCCCTACTGCGCGAATTCAACAAGTACGTAACAGTATGTTTGCTAGTGATGTTTCTGAACCTTACGAAACGCTTAAACGTTCTATTCTTAAACGCGGAGACCTAACCGATAGACAAAGGTCAGACCAACTCCTCAACAACATCGACCTGCAACACGGTTCCGCGACGAACGTGTCGCAACGAATGAGAGAGGTTATAGGCCAAAGAACCTTTGATGATGGCCTATCCAAACAACTTTTCTTGTACAAACTTTCTCAACAGGTACAAGCTGTGCTTGTCTCGTTTCACAACAACGCCTTAGACGAGCTGGCTGCATCTGCCGACCGCATCTTAGAAATCACCAAATCTTCTAATACCGAGGTTTTTTCAGTCAAAGAAAAGCCTCAAACGACCCAGGATGATATAACAGAATTGTGTCATACACTTACGCGTTGTCTTAAATTTCGAAACGACCGTAAGCGATCAAACACCCCATGTAGAGGCATTTCAAGTAGACGCCCTTTCTCTAGACCACGAGAGACGGATAATTTCGAGTGGTGTCTTCATCATAACCAGTATGGAAAGTCTTCCAGAAATTGAAAAAAACCTTGCAATTTTCCCAACTCAAAGCCGACCGACACGAAAAACAAATCGGGAAACTTCCAAGCTGGCACGCGTTAACGGCGACCGTAGCCGGCGAACATAGCTGTCTGTTATACGTCACAGATGTGACAACGACAGTTCGCTACCTCGTCTACACTGGCGTAGAAGTTAGCGTTCTCCCAGAGAATCCTAACGACCGGCTTCACGAATCGGTTTTAAACTTACAGGCGGCAAACGGAAAACCTATCGCTACGTATGGCAAAAGGTACGTTTACCTTAACGTGGGTTTACGCAAACCCATTCACTGGATCTTCGTTGTTGCAGATGTTTCCATGCCAATCATTGTTATAGACCTTCTACAACACCATAATCTAATCATCGATACTCGCAAACGGAGGCTAGTAGACAGATACACTAATTTATCTGTTTGCGTAACTTCTTTTTCTGGTTGCAGATTATCCCCAGTGACAATTAAGCATACGATAGACCCACTTTATCAACCACTATTCGATAAGTATCCTGGGATTCATCAAACGCAACCGAAATTGCCGTGTGTAACCAGCAACTTTACACATCACATCACGACTACAGGACCACCTGTATTCTCTAAAGCACGACGACTAGCCCCTGAAAAGCTGAGGTTGGCGAAAACCGAGTTCTATCACATGATAGACTTAGGAATCATACGACCGTCAAATAGCCCATATGCATCTCCGTTGCACATGGTCCCTAAAAAGGACAGCAACGATTGGCGTTCAACTGGTGACTATCGGCGATTGAACGCGAAAACCATTCCCGATCGTTACCCGTTGCCTCACATTCACGATTTGACAGCTACCTTGAAAGGTACAACTGTCTTTTCGAAAATCGACTTGGTTAAAGCGTATAACCAAATCCCTATGGCTACTGACGACATATCGAAAACAGCTATCATAACTCCTTTCGGACTCTATGAATTTTTGCGAATGCCTTTCGGTCTAAGGAATGCTGCTCAAACATTCCAAAGATTCATAGACGACGTTTTTCGAGGTCTCAACTTCGTACATGCATATGTTGACGACTGCCTAATCGCAAGTCCGGACAGAGAATCACATCTCCAGCATCTCGATCTTGTTTTCGATCGACTACAAAAACATGGCATTACTGTGAACATTCAGAAATGCTAAATCGGAACTGACTCATTAGACTTCCTAGGACACACTATAGATGCTCAAGGCATTCGACCCCTTAGAACCAAAGTGGCGGCAATTCTGGATAATCCAGAACCGACCGCGATCAAGGAATTACGCACGTTTAACGGCTTTGTAGGTTCCTACAGACGATTCATACCGAAATGCGCGTTGCTCATGAAACCTCTTAGCGACTAACTTCGTGGAAATGCGAAATCCATAAATTTGAACGGTACCGCGCTAAAAGCATTCTCCAAAGTTAAGGAATTTATCGCTCAGGCAACAATGCTTGCTCGTCAGGACACTGAAGCACCCATTAGTATCACAGTAGACGCATCCAACTCAGCAATCGGAAGAGTCTCACAACAATGGGTCAACAACTCTTGGCAACCTTTGACATTTTCATCTAGACGGTTGCTAGACACCGAATCGAGGTACAGCACATTCGGTAGGGAACTCCTAGCTATGTATTGTGCTGTACGGCATTTTCAACACTATATCGAAGGCTGTGAATTCACCCTTCCCACTGACCATAAACCGCTCACCTTTTCTTTGAGCTCTTCTTCAGACAAGTACTCACCCCGCGAGTCTCGACAAACTGAACTACATTTCGCAGTTTACTTTAGACATTCAACACATTTCTGGAGCAAATAATGTAGTCGCAGACGCTTTGTCTCCCGTAACTTCCGTGAACAGTTTTCAAGAAATCGACCTTCTTAAACTCGCCCAGCTTCCAAAAGAAGACACTGACTTCATTATGAGCTATCGTCAACAATCCTTAAGCTGTGCCTTAAAAAGATGGGTAGCGAACTTTGGCTCCCCTTCAACCATCAATGCAGATCGCGGACGCCAGTTCGAAGCTGGACTTTTCCGTTGTTTGACCACACTATTGGGAATCACTCACTTTCGAACGACGGCCTACCACCCACAAGCAAACGGGTTGGTAGAACGCTTTTACCGGCAACTAAAAGCTTCACTATCAGCTGCAAACATTTCACGGTGTAGTGACGCTCTTCCACACGTCTTACTAGGTATTCGCAATGCAGTGAAAGCTGACATTGGATACACTGCGGCTCAACTCGTTTATGGAACGACACTTCGACTTCCAGGAGAACTCGTGGATCCTTCGTCCTCTTCAATGAACATGGATCTAACCTCCTACACGAACAGGCTTACAAACGCAATGCGTTCAGTTAGACCTGTTTCCACATGACCGCAATCAACTGATGTTTTCGTTCAACCTGACTTACGATATAGTACACACGTTTTCGTTCGTCGAGACTTGAATCTACGACCTTTCGGATCAGCATACAAGGGACCTTTCAAAGTTCTTCAACGCGGACCTAAGTACTATATAATCGATAAGAACGAAACAAACGATAGCATCAGCATCGGTCGCCTCGAAGCAGCGTATTTAGAAGGAAATTCTATCCACGTCGATTTTCCTTCGGGACGATCGATCGACACGACTCCGACAATTATAATACTTCATCCGACAACCAACACGCTCAATGATACTTCGACAGTATCTGAAAACAAACTTAAAACAACGCGTCCTGGAAGAAGAGTAAGATTCCCAGAACATTTAAGCGACTATCACACGTAAGACACTAGTTAACACTTCGTTTCATCTCGAATTTCCATGGCATCATATATAATATTTAAAAAAATCAATTTTTATATGTTTATATTTGCATATATTTATTATTTGGCTAATATGTATATTTTAAAAAAATACAAAAAAAACATTTTGTAAAATTTGCCTTTACGTTATTTACACTTTTTCGCACATTTTGTGTCTTAAAGCGCGTACGAGTTTATTTCGACATGCACTTACATATATTTTTCTTTTCCAGAACGGCTGGAAAAGACGATA